TCTTCGGATGTTGTAGAGGCAGTAAATTTAAGTGAGTTTAAGAGAAAGCTTGATAAGTAAATGAATAAGAGCTGGCTTTAAGATTTTCTTAAAAGTTGTTTTAATTTAGTTTAAAGGATGGAACAGACGAGATGGACCAATAAGTCTCATGTTGTCCCAAAACATTATGTTATGCTAATATATATATATATATATATATATGTTCTGTATGCATATAAATTTTTCCCTAAATGCTTCCCACATCTTTAGTCCAATCTACAGAAGCCAGATCACGTTTCATTCCATCAAAATTGGCCTTTCTGAAATTTGGAATCAGGGTACTATTCAACATGTAGTAAAATCCCAAACCTAATAGTGTAATGGTCACTTGTACTTTAAATGCTCACCAATGGATGCTAATATTAAATCTAATATAACTTCCTCTCTTGTAGGTTCCATCAGTGAAATTTGAAAATTTTCTGATGCAAAAAGTATTTTTAATTTTAAAATGAAAATTACTTTGCATGTTAGATAGGCAACATGCAAAAAGAAAAAAAAAAAGGCATGAGAAAAATATTGCTTTACAAACCTTAGGACTTAATAAAAAAAAATTTATATTTTGCATATGAAAGCTTTGTAATGTTTAATGATAATATGCCAAATGTCATTAAAATATGCTTATTCATTTAAAAGTTATAGCATGAAAACTATAACAAGCACAAAATGGTTACGAGGTCGGTTCCAAGGACTGAGCCTGTGCTGAAAGAGTTAACTGTGACATACATCTATTAATTATGACACACACAATTTCATGTGAAACACATCAATCTTACTGTGACACAAACCCACTTAAATATGACATAACACCCAGTTTATTGTGATATACACCCACTTAACTATGCCACACATCCATCTTACTTTGACAAACACAACATTCTATTACACACACCCAGCTTTAAATACATGACATATAGTAAACATAATATGACACACACTTAGCTTACTATGACACATACTCAGCTTAAAATGACGTACTTTCAACATACTATGATACATATCCAGCTTACTGTGACTCACACCCAACTTACTATGACATACACTCAGCTTACTGTAACATACACCCACATAACTATGAAATATCCACCCATCTTAGAATGAGATAAATCTAAGTATGACACACATCCAGATTACTGTGACATACACTCAGCTTAAAATGGCATGCACCAAACATTCAATACCACACACTTAGCCTACTATTACATACACCCACCTTAGTATGACACACACCCAGTTTAGTATAACATACATTCTATGACATACACCTAGCCTACTATAGCACACACACCCAGCTTACATCAGAGCTGACTTTCAATATTTAGATTTGAAATGCATCTACATAAACTACTAATGACAAAGATCACCTAATTCAACCAAACAGAATACTGTGTGAACAACACATATTTTTATTCAAGATGGCCAGTAATACTGTGTGAACAACACATTTTTACCCAAGATGGCCAGTAATACTGTGTGAACAACACATTTTTACCCAAGATGGCCAGTAATACTGTGTGAACAACACATTTTTATCCAAGATGGCCAGTAATACTATGTGAACAACACATATTTCTACCCAAGATGGCCAGTAATACTGTGTAAACAACACATATTTCTACCCAAGATGGCCAGTAATACTGTGTAAACAACACATATTTTTACTCAAGATGGCCAGTAATACTGTGTAAACAACACATATTTTTACTCAAGATGGTCAGTAATACTGTGTGAACAATACTTATTTTTATCCAAGATGGACAGTAATACTGTGTGAACAACACATTTTTACCCAAGATGGTCATTTCCTTAAAAAGAAAGTGTGGTCTACTTCTTCCCTTCTACAACTCTGTTCTAGAAGAACTCTAAGAATAATGATATGTTGATAATATATTTAATGGATGGTGACATGAGAAAGGTAGTTTACTTAATTTCAAAGAATAAAAGGAGGAAGAATATCATAATTTTCATTTATGAAGTACAATCTGACAGTTGTCTCTCCTTTTTCTGTTAATGTAAGAAGAGAAAACAGTAAAGTTTAACACCAGCATATAAAGAAAATACCACACTGTTACCATGCAGCCATATACCAAATGGACTGACTGTAACAACCTGGTGAAACTTGAAAACCATTCTAGTTAAAATAACTCCTGATTATAGCAAAAACCAAAAATCAACATCAGTACAGATTATTAAATATACATTTCAACTTATAAAAATTAGCATCCATTGTTTAATCACTGGGTACCACACTGTTAACAATATTTTCAACTCTAATCCCTATTATATTGTTGAGTCTCTGGTCATTTGTTAATTTCCCATATAATTTCTTTCGAATGAAACTTTAGCGATACAAATCCTTTCTTAAATAAAACTAGTTTATTCTTTCTCAATACAACTTTGCAATACACTTAATTTCCACAGTCCCTTTAACTTAAACACACGCTATAATTCACAACGATTCACCCACTTTACTTATGGTCACTACCGTGCTTGACTCAATTGTCCATCTCTATCTCTGCCTGTCTGCAATTATCTATGCCGTCACTTCATTTGCCGCCTTATATATACAAAAATAGAGGGCGTGTAGAAAAGACTAGAGTTGTGAGGAACAGACACGATCCTTCTAGAATCTCATGACGTGTTACAAGCATCATGTGACTTCCGCTGTCGTAATAATATCTTATAAGGTTTGGCCAGTTTAGGAGATTAAGGTTAGTCCTAAATAAACATATTAATCTAACAATGTTAAACAATCTTGGTAACAAAATCACTAATAAACCCTAAACCAAAACAAAAAGTAACAATAAATATATAACACATATTAAATAGGGAACACAGAAACACTAGCTGTCGGCTTGAAGTACCGTCATAGAAGAAACGTTTTGAAAACATGAAATTATTGGTTCTTTTGACCAAATAAAATTCATTAAGCCACTCCTAGATCACAGTTTAACATAGCATATTCAGGCTTTGTATAATAGAATTCCATGTAGATTATCATCATATTTCAATACTTTGACCTTTTAAGGAATGATTTTTGAAAAAACAAATAAGTGGTATCAACTATCAAGTAAAAAAATCAGAATTTCCTCTTGCTTTACCATAATGCCAATTTCACAGTTTTTAGTGTTCAAACTAATTTTTAACAGAAAAACATCTTCATAGAGTACTTCATGACATACCAAAATATCTAAGCATTAAAAGCTGATGGGTGAGGGAGGGGGTCTGAAATATGGGAGCCACAGGTCAAGAAACTGTATAAACATAATGAGGTAAAATGATGTAAGAGATGAATTTGGACTCTTAAAGAAGAGTTTTTATGTATATAGTTTTGATTTATTATTGTTAAATACTCTATGATGCATGAAATTCTTGCTCCTTTGACCTCTTTCTACGAGTTTCGTGTTACATTACATGGTTATCTGCTTGAATTGACAAATCAAATTAACAAGTAAAGGACAAAGTACACTTAACTACTTATTTCTATCCAAAAAATAGAGCTACTTTTGGCTCATTGGATAATTTACTTAAAAGCTTAACTAACAAATATAAACACCTCATTAAGTCAGCAATAAAGCATCCAATGTTTACTAGAGGTAACAAAAAGCTTACCAAATTATTTGTAACTAACCATAAAGTCTTAAGTTTCCAGGTATAAATATGCCTCAACAAGAAGCCATGTTACACAGGATGCCTAAATATGCTTGGAAATCAGAAGTATAGAAATGTCGTTGAATATAGACTGAATACACTTAAGCAAGGTGATGTAGTACGCAGCTAAATAAACCATATTCATCTGGACTGATTATTATACATTTTAAAATTCAGCTCCACAGACAACAAGCTTGACTATAAGTTGTGGGAACCACAAACAGAACTGTTACCATGGGCACATGAATAAACAGTTACAAGTATTTTTATTTCAAACTTCCTAATAACATTAATACTGTTTTCTAACAAACATTTAAATCAAATACCTGACAAGCCAATAATTTTTTTTATGAATGAAAGAGATGTCACTGATTGTCTATTCATGGCAGTAGTTGAATGTTAACCAGATAATGTAGCATTATTATAAATGGTCCCTAAGCAACATATTAAATTCATTTTAATTTCTTTAAAACATGTAATGGAGCAAAAGAGCTTAAGTTAATCAAAATGTTTATAATGGTACAACAGGTTCATTCTTGATGTTATTAACACCTATTTTAATAAGACATAACAATGAGAAACATTAAATGACTTACATACATCAAGTTATATAAACTCACTTTTTAAAATTTTCCAATTCAGAGCACTCGTTTTCTAAAAGATCATGAGGGTCAACTAAACACTGGACAGGTATGGACGAAGATGATCTGCTATAACTACCCATACCACTTTGAACAGTTTTTTGTTCTGTTTGTAATATCCCTGTAGACGTAGCCAGAGGGATAATGGTTAGCTCACTTGGGAGCCTGGAAGCAGAAGAGGCAGAAGATACGGGAGTTGGTGGAGACAGTTCTCCATTTTGGTGGACATTCCCATCATGGAGGTTATCACTGGACACTGTGCTAATACCTTGTGGTTGAGAGTATGACTGTGATGAAAGAGATGGTTCAATTGGCTTTGTGGATGGATGCATAGAACTACATGAAGATGCTGCAGCATCTGGTCGATGAGTGGATGACACACCATTTGAGAGGTGAGAAATTGACTCTGCAAGCTGACAACTACTTGTAGTGTTGGCATTTAATAGCTGCCCTACTGACATAGAACCCAACCCTTCTGAAAGCATACCACTAGCTTGATATGGGGAGAAGGTAGGAGGTACATTACTGTGACTCGACGTTAAGTTGTTTCGACCTAAATCAACATCTAACCTGTCAAGCTGATCAAAAGCCAGGAGAATCTGCTCCCTCGTGACTCCACTGTTACGAAGCCTTCGAATCAGCTCTATCTGTTCCACAGTGAATAACTGACTGGCCATGGTGTACTATTACCAGGTCTGTGCATTCCTGAAACTTGTCAGTATTGATGATTTCTCTATCCACAAACACCTGCAAGTTAAACACAGTATTCCAATATCAACACAAATCTGTTAACAGCAGACTCCCAAAACAAACTACTTCCTTACATTACAGTTTCATGTTTAAAGATTTTTAATTTATAAAGATCTTTAAAACTGTTTAAAAAAATAAAAAATACATGCAGTGAATATTTTTAACTTCCTTTCTATTTTTTGAACATTACAGTTGTGTTTACACTATCAAATATTTCTTATCTGACCAAACTGAGTACAAAACGATGAAGTAAAAATGATGAACAGCAGATTGAGCACCAGAGAATACTATCACTGAACTAAACCAATTTTCAGTTATGGGGATTTTAAGTCCCTTTCACTGACGAATAAAGTAAGCTAAGTAACCTTCAGTCCACAGCAAAAAGTATGGCCAATCAAGGAAAGCATTAGGCCTGTACGTCACAGATTCTATTTTCAATCTTACCTTTGGCAAGAATAAAAATAAATTTGTAACATATAAGAAGCCCATTCTAGTCCATTAAAATTATGAATATGTAAATATAAAATAGAATACTAAACATCATGATTATATTAAGTGGTCATAACCAGCAAAAATAAAGACATACATAAAGTACTACAGGTAGATCAAAATCCTTTGAACATTTTCACACACATACACACTTGATGGTAACGTTCTGTTTTACAAAAAAAAAATTCATTATCAAAGAATGTAAATTGATTAGTTTTGTGTAACTAAATATAACACACTGATAGGACTACCACCTTATCGTAAGTTACCAGAATTTTAACTTTATATTGACAAATGCTTCATCAAAACACCTTAAATACATTATGCATTTGAAATAACTTACAATTTGTATTTTGTTCAAGTTCTTATTGATTTAGTAGTACACTGTTTCATATTAAGCTCTGACATTTGAAATCTTAAAAAAATGTATCACAGTTAATTTTATTTTTGTCATTACCTATCAAATATTTTGTGATTTTCCTGGCAACTTACAAAATAAGAACTGCAAAAATACCATGATTTTGTCTAAGTTGTATTCTGTAAAAAAAACATTCTTTTACAAAGGTACTATATCAAAAAAGCTTTCACAGATGTGAAAAACTAATGTAAAGTTGGAAACTAAATTCAAGTAATAACATTATTGATGTACAATTCAAAGTTCATGAGAAAATTTTATACATTTGTGATTAAATGTCAAAGTGATAGGCCATTATGAAAGCGGTAGGTCAAAACTAAATAGGCAGTCAATTTTTGTATTTATTATTTTGTTAACCTACTTCAATAAAGAACATTCTTACAGCAGGACACTTATTAATATCCTTGAAAACAGAATGTGTAGCACATACCACTTTTACTCTCAAATCAAAATTTCCACAAGTAGGCTTAGATTTTATTGAACAAGTTTTCTCATGAGTATGTTTCAAGTAATGAACATAAATACAGTAATTTCACTTTTGTCCAATCAGAGAGCCACTAGCACAGAATTCTACTAGATTCAAAATTAGGCTAAAAATTTGTCTATCACATTGGCAAGCCTTGTCTCTATGGCAAACAACTGAGGTACCAGCAACACCGTGTGCATGACTACTTTTACATTTCCTTTGTCATGTTTATTATTGTAAGTCCACTAACACATAACAGAAATTAAGTAAAAGATAATTTGTAATACATTTTATGTTACTGACAAGTACTGAAATACAAACAAAATTAATGTAATAAATATAATAATATAAGCTAAGAGAACCTCTAAACTACTTTATACAACATTCATAAAATACACTGGTAATAACATAATTGGTTGTGCACAGCCAATTAACATATGGCAAGTGTGCCACACCCATGCAGACTATTAACAAGGTATATGTACAATTATAACTTGTTTAATGTGGAAATAACTATCAAAATATCGTTAACAATCATGTTCCATCAACTAGATATAACTGTTACCCTTAGTAATGACTGTTAATATCAACATCATTATGTCTCAAGGATGTCCCTCTAATTCTGATACAAGGGTACATAGGTCCTTTATATTGTAGAATCTAGGAACAACATTAAGTAACTAATAAGTAAATGTTGTGAGTATAATATCTGTTTCAGAAGACAAGCAGTTTTCATATTGGTAACAATGGTAAATGAAGCAGATGTTTGAACACTGTACAGGGCATCCACTCCACTCAGTTGAAACTATACAGCACACTTTCATCTAGTGAAGAACCCTTGCTTCCCCAGTCCCAAGCTGTTGAGATGGTTGATATGGAGACCTCGCCCTTTAGGTCAGTGTACCACTGGTAGGAGACCGGGAGAATGTACCTTGAAATCAAAAGTATCACCTGGTAGTGTAGTACAGACCACCCCACTACACTATGAACCAAGCTAGCCCAACTGTATATTCCAGCTTCATCGGGATGATTTTTCCCTCTGAATGCTTATCCTGGTAAGTATTTCTCCAGTACAGTAAGGCCTGACTTAATACAATAAAGAATGGCACCAGTTGAACAATGTTACATTCTATCCACCTATTCAAAAGTTTAGCTCCATCCATAAAGTTCTTTAGAGGGTACTTACCTTTTGCCCTATGACCTTTAATGGGCACAGTTTCCCTGAATGAAAAGAATATGGTCTCCCAAAAACTGATGCCCCACTAGGTCCCCCATCAAATGACAACATCACTTCAATCTATAAGATGTTGCTTACACCTCATTTGGAATATGACATTCAGTTTTGTCACCTATTTTTATGACAGTTTAGTTACCAGAATGTTATTGTTAGAGAATTGATTGTGATCTTCATTGGAGAGAAGTTTGACAATATATACTTATGGTTTTGAATATTGTTAAAAGTTTGAAATACATACATTTAAATGATATTTTCAAAATATTTGCTAGAGGATACATTTTTAAAATACTCAAGGCAACAATCTAGTTAAGGCAGTGTTACTTTTATAAATCAGGTAGCTAGAATTAATAGCTTTCAGGTGTGGTAGACATTGCAATAATTAATAAGTTGTCTTCAGGTGTGGTAGACATTGCAATAATTAATAAGTTGTCTTCAGGTGTGATAGAAACTGTAACAATGAATTAGTTGCCTTCAGGTGTGGTAGAAGCTGTAACAGTGAATGAGTTGCCTTCAGGTGTGGTAGAAGCTATAACAATGAATGAGTTGTCTTCGGGTGTGGTAGAAGCTGTAACAATGAATTAGTTGCCTTCAGGTGTGGTAGAAGCTGTAACAGTGAGTGAGTTGTCTTCAGGTGTGGTAGCTGTAACAATGAATTAATTGTCTTCAGGTGTGGTAAAAGCTGTAACAATGAATGAGTTGCCTTCATGTGTGGTAGACACTGCAACAATGAATGAGTTGCCTTCATGTGTGGTAGACACTGCAACAATGAATGAGTTGCCTTCAGGTGTGGTAGAAGCTGTAACAGTGAGTGAATTGTCTTCAGGTGTGGTAGAAGCTGTAACAGTGAGTGAGTTGTCTTCAGGTGTGGTAGCCACTGCACCAATGAATGAGTTGGCTTCAGATGTGGTAAAAGCTCTAAAAAAGAATGAGCTGCTTTTAAGTGCATTAGAAGTTACAACAATGAGTGAGTTTGAAAGACGATTGCATGAATATTTTAGAGATCAGAGCTGAATATAACTAATAATGAATTTTTATATGGTCTGTAGTATAGTTGTAGTAAAAATGGGTTAGCTCAAATGAGCCAAATAGTCCACCAACCTTGGGAATTAAATGAATTCTTTTAAAATGATGATTTTCAGCAATACTGACTAGACTGGTACAACAGGAACTGGAAAGATTATATATCCACAGTTTGACAATTTACCAGCTTTCATTTAGAGGAAGCAGCAAAGGAAAGGTAATTTAAAAACAGGATATAATAAAATATATAATACATTATGCCAAAATAACTGATATATTATAAATGACAGATTGTGACATGATATTTCCCACAGACTTAGTGCAATGTACAACCAACAATCTAATGAGCTCTGGTACTGAGCAAAAGGCTTTGTCAGAACCAGTATATAGCATACAACTTGAAACCTTTAGTATAAGGTCTGTAAAGAAAGATTTGCTAAATATGATTATCAATCTTATTGTGATATAATATGACACAAATTATGAAAAATATCTGTAATAATAATAGTATTTTAAATTCAATTATTCTACTAATTTACTTCAAATTAAAGCCAGGTACATAGACTGATTAAAACTAAAATTAACCCCCTGACAATAACTTTGAAATTACATGTTACTCGTTGTAATCTTAGGTGCTGACCTATGAAATATTCAATAAGTAATCTAAATTTGAAGGTAAAAATTGTGGATTTTTTAAATTTTCTAAAAATCAGCTTCTTTAATCACATTTGGGGTGTTTATATAGCTTACAATCTCACCATGTATCAAAGAAAATCATACAAGTTAAACAGTTTTATGTTTTTACTGTTATCAGTCATTTACAGCTGATATCTAATTCAAGTTTAACAAATAGTCAGTGAGTATATTTAAAGATATTCTAGATGTCACAAAACAAAAATCATTAGTTAAGGAAACCATGGCACCAGAAATACTAGTAAATATTGAATAGTTATTAAAAACCAAAATAACTTAGATATATATTATTATTTTGAATGAGTGAATCTATTAATACATAATATATATATTGTTACGAGAGCGGAAGTCGCATGACACTGGGAGCATGCGAGCTGGAGTTTCTGGAAGGATCATGAATTATCAGGGAGGCCTGAGTTTGTTTGAGGTGCCTCTTATTTAGTATATAAGCCTGGTGAGAAAAACCAGCACAATTGCATACATAGATAGATCAAAGAGATAGATAATTGAGTCAAGCAAATAGTAGTGACGGTAATATAAAGTGTGTATTTTGTTATCGGGATTGCAAATGTATTGACTGTGGAAATTCTGGTTATTACTAAAAGTTGTATTGAGAAAGAATAAACTAGTTAATAAACACTGGTCCCCACAACCTTGCATAATGTACTATCACACCACAGAGTTTCTGTATGGTAGTATTCTTCTTACACTTGCTCCTCATATGTCCTTGCTCTCCACAGTTCCAACAACCTTTCTGGGTAGCAGCGTTTCCTGCCATGGAATCTTCCCTGTTTTGAAGTTGCCAGCATTGAGCTCTCTTGTGCCCAGGTTTGTTACAGTGCCAGCAAAGTCACTCAAACTTCTCCAAAAGCTGTCCTCTTCTAGCCTTGAATCCCGATGACTATACCAACCTTGGTACCTATGAGCTGGACTTAACATAGGATTTGAAATCAAGAGCTCTGGCCACTGAATCCTACATAGTAGAGGGGTGTGCTTCCTTCACTTGTATCTTTAGTTGTGGACTATCCAAGGCATCTATAAACTGATCCCTCAGCAACAGCTTGAGGAC